CAACCAGAAAAAATGTCAGTCATTCAATCAAGTGGGAGGAAAAAATCTCTATCAGGATCTCAATTTTATAAAAGTCATTTTTGGAAACATACGGGTTTTAAACATTTTTTAATTTTAGTGATTGTATCAGATCTAACGCATTTGACTGCTAACTAGAAGAATGGCAATTCAAACCCACCAGCCACTCCTCGGAAGGAAAATTGGGCAATCTACTTCTGTAGTGATACTGCCTCAGAAACCCAAGGAGGGGTTGCTATGAGTCGAATCTGACTCAGCGGCAGTGAGTTTGGTTTTTTGTTTTTAGTACCAGATCCCAGTGGAACAGACGGTAACACAGGTACTAATCTCCAGACTTTCCCTTCCTGCTAGATTTTTAAGTTTACAGTAATTATAAATAAAATCTGCCTACCTGAAATTTAATTCTTTATTTTTTCTTTTTGTTTCATTCCCTTCTACCACCTTCTGCTCTCACCCTCAATAATTTACCCTATTTACTTAAAAGAATCTTTATATTCCTCTTCTTTTAACTGGGGAACAGCTAGCTGAAGGTTGAGCTTGCTTCCCTCTTGGGGATTCTCAGAAAAAGAGAGAAGCTTCACAACGGATCTGTGGCTTTGAAGAACATAAAATAATACACAATCTCAAAGCTGTAGTCCTTTTGAAGGCTTTGCTTTATAAGACACTCCAGATGTAAAAAAGTAAGGATAAATCTGACTAGAATGGCGGCAGCAAAGTAGAGAGAAAAGTCCTCTAACTGCTCTCACAAGAGTGTAACACAGTCTCCTCAAGTAGCTTTCAAATGATGTATATGTTTGAGTAGCCAAAGAAAATTTCTAGATAGGTAAGTGGTTACCTCAGGGAAATAGGAATGGAATAGTAAGGGGATTCTCTTTTTTCAATTGTGATTTGGGTGAAAGTTCACAGAGCAAATTCACTTACCATACAGCAGTTCACATATACTTTGTCTTACGACAATGACTACAATTTACCATAATGCAACAGCTCCCCTCCCACTTCCTCCCAATAGTTACCTCTTCCCTGTGTCCATCCCTCCATGCACTCCTGCCCCCTGAGCTGTTCCTGGGCATAAACAGCCCTTCTGTCTCCCATGATTGTTTTCTCCAAGGAGTGAATTTACCTCATATGCCTGTGTTTCATTTGGCTGGAAGCCACAGGTGTTGGTTCAATTCCAGACCTGAAGGGCAGCTAGGGGCCATAGTCTCAGTGGTTCCACCAGGCTCTATCAGACCAGCAAACCTGGTCCTTTCCCCACCCCCAAATGATTATGAGTTTTTTTCCACATTGTTCTCCCTCTCCATCCAGGATCTCCTACATCAATAACCCTCTGAGTGGTTGACAGTGGTAGCCGGGCACCATCTAGTTCTTCTGGTCTCATAGTCGTATAGGCTGAGGATTGCATGGTGTACCAATTGCAAGGACTAATTGTTTCCATGAATCTTTGGTTTTCTTCATTCTCTTTGCTTTGAACAAGGAGAGACCTATGGTTGCATCTAGATGGCTGCTTGCAAGCTTTTAAGATCCCAGTCGCTATTCGCCAAAGGAAGAGATGGAGCAATGTTTTGTGTAGTATATTATGCCAACTGAGCTTGATGTCCCCTGCGACTATGGTCCTGAGCCCACAGGTTCAACTACTCGCTCCCTCTAGGTAGCTGGCTGTGGCCAAGAAGTAACTACAATTTTGTCCCTTGTCAGCTCTACTATACACCTGGGAATTCAGTAAGGGGATTCTTATACTTCACTTTGTACCTTACTTTGTTGTTCGAGTTATTTACCATAAGCATGTGTTACTTTTAAGAAAATAATAAAAACTACTGTATTGGGATCATTTATATTTGTGTTTGACAAGATTTCTATTTAACTAATTTACCTGCACTATTTTTCCCTTTAACAATTTTACTAACTTACGTCACCAATTGAAAATACTTGTAAACTTCCTCGGATTTTCAGCTCATCAAAAACACAGTGATAAATAGAAATATGACTCTGATCACCAGAGAAAAAAATCAGCACTGCAATTTCAATGTTACTTCTTTTTAGGTGTATGAAGGAATAAATACGAATTGACAAAATTCTATATGACTTAGATCACTAATAATAGCTATGCTATGAAATCATCTTCCAGGAAAAAATTTTGCCAGTAAACTCAAATAACTGAAATCTGCAACAAAAATACACATGTAGACAATCATAATAAAAAATACAGGAATACACAGAGTATTAATGCTTATTTAGTGCTGTAATGTCAAAAGTATATGCTTAGAGAACTAAGTGATAGAATTGATATTTATTCATTCACCAAATTTTCAGAAAGCATTTGATCTGTGCCAGGCATAATATTAGGCACTATTAGAGACAGAGCAGTGAACAAAACATGAAAATCCTGGCCCTCATGCAGTATTTTAATAAACAAGAAAAATAAATATTATGTTAGATGGTCATAAAAGCAAAAATAAAGTGGGAAAAGAAGATGGGAAGGGCATAAAAGCAAGGAAGGAAGGGAGCAAGCTATGTGACTGTCCAGATAAAGACATTCTGAACTAGAGGGAATAGCAAGAACAAAAGCCCAAAGGTGGACAGATGCTTACTATGTTTAAGAACTGTGAGCAGGCCAATATGGCTAGAGGAGAATGAGGGAGGGAGGAAAGTAGTAGATGAAGTTGGAAAGGTACAGGAGAAGGGGCTGGGGCATCCTGGAGGACCATTTCAGTAGGGCTTTCATGGACAAGTATGATAACACCAGGTGGAAATAGGGCTGGGAGGCGATTCTAGGTAATTAAACCAAAAGCAAACTCACTGCCATCGAGTGGATTGTGACTCATAAGGACCCTACAGAACAGAGCAGAACTACCCCATAAGGTTTCCAAAGCTGTGTATCTTTACGGAAGCAGATTTTCTCATCTCTCTCCACAGAGCAGCAATGGGTTGGAAGAGCCAACCTTTTGGTTATCAGCCAAATGCTTTAACCACTGTGGCACCAGAACTCCTTTCCAGGTGATCAGAACAAACAAAAACATAAGACAAGGCACCACAAATGTCTTAAGGATGTTCAGGAATTAGAACCTGGCCTAGCATGGAATGAGTACAGATGCAAGGGTGAGGGCAGAGGACCATGTGTGGAGGTGCGGTGGGGAGAGATAAATACTCGTTCTTCCACTTCCTGTTTGGAAGCTGTAGAAGAGACAGGGCAGGGAGGTATCAGGTTGAAAGGTAGGTATTAGCTGGCCCTTTAATATAACCCTTGCTTTCCCTGCCAAGAATAAAATTCTGTTCCAGGTAGTAGTTTCAGTTACCATATCAATAAACAAAAAAGGTGGAAGTCTTGGGATCTTTTACGAGGAAAACATTTCTCTAAAACTTTATTGTAGTAAGAAAATGAGAAAATATACAAGAACTGCAATTTTTACTATTTATTAACATGAGCTGATTTAACTTGATCTGACAGAGTGAGTCATAATACAATGATGACTAAAAACTGGAACTGAGAAGTCAAATAGAAATGTCATTTTTAAAAAGATCATTCCACAAAATGGCTAATGCTTGGATAAACAATTAAAGAGTTAGTGGCACAGTGCCTAAGGCATGTGACTGGTATCCAGAAGGTTGGAGGTTCAAACCAGAAGGAAGATGGGGCAATCTACTTCCATGAAAATTTACCACTCTGGAAACCCACTGGAGGTGACTGAGTCAGAATTGACTTGATGGCAATGAGTTTTTTCAAATCTCCATAAAAAAAATTCTGTGATTATTATCCATTTTGCTGGAAACTTGCTCATAATATAACAGCCCAGTCAGTACCTAATACAGTGCTTAGTACCGAAGACACAAATACCTGTTCAACCAGTAAAAAGCCTATCCATTACAGTTCATCTTAGTAGAATCAAACAGTGCTTGAGCTGTCATTAACACTGCATTGAACTGTTACTATTAATAGGGAGAAAATTAAACAAAAGTAGATAAGCAGGAAGAAGGGATGTTTTCCTTCCATATTACCACCTGTGCGAAAACAACAATATACTCCAGAGAAGTCAATCCACTGGTTAATTACCCATATGAAACAAGGCTACTACAGCTACATCACCGTTAAATCCATAAACAAAGCTGTTGCAAAATTCAAAATGAATTTCCCTTAATACTCATGAAATGCATCAAAGCTACTTTTCTGGAACTGAGAACACAAAGCATGAGGAAATCTCAATCGCTTCCAACTGACCCTTCAAGACTTCTGTGGATATAGGAAATTTTATTTTCCCTCCCGTGATTTTTTTTTTTAAATCCTAATTTAAGAGTAACACACCCTAATAATTTGTCTCGAATAACACAAAAGAGGGATAGTTAAAAGATGCCTTTGGTTTGACAATGTAATAAATCCTTTAGAGAGGAAATGCTGAATAGAAAGAATAATCCGAACGTTTATGTCATCTTTTTTATCATCAACCAGTTGCAAATGATCAAACCTCTGCTAAGAAGAGCATCTTCCTATAGGAGACGATGTTTGTACACGCGTCATTCTGACCTAGAATTAATTTGCTCGCGGTGAAAATTTACACACAGGTTTCAAATGTCTTTTTCAGTACTCATCCATTAAACAAGGATTTTTTAAAAAAATGTCTGAATGTCAATATTCTTTCCTGTCTTCGTGAAGCATTTTTCCACGTTAACATTAAAAAAATCTGTAACTGTAACTCTATAAGTAGATTCAAACTCCTTTCAATGCCATAAATAAGCCTTAAATCCATACACATCAAAAACGTTACAAGAATGGTTTGCAAAGACACGGTTAGATCTGCTCGTTGCTAACGATTACAGCAAGCAATGAATCGAGGGTATGAATCAGGGACCCTAGCAGCTTCATTTTCAAGACGCCACAATAAAGGCATCCTCCGCTCTCCTCACACTTCACCAGAAAGCAGCCGACTCCCAGACCAAGCCAACCGTAGGAAAAAAAGCTAAGTTCGGGGCCAGGGCTCGGCCTGCCTTACCTTATAGACGTCTCCGTAGGTGCCGCTGCCGACCCTCTGGACAAGCTCATAGTCCTGCTGTGGGTTCCGCCTCAGAATGTCCGCGGCGGGTCGCAGCGGGGCCTCCATCTTCGCTCAGGGCCAGGCCCCCGCCAGCTCTGCCCGCGGTGTCCCGACTGCCGCTAACGAGGGTAAGTAGCGCCGCTTCCCAACATGGAGCCTCTGCCCGCAGCTCCGCCTGCCTGAGGAACGAGCAAAGGCGGGTTGGCGCCGCAGGCGAAGCCCCTGAGCCGCCCGCGTTCCCGCCTCCTTTCCCTTCCGCCCCGCCGGGGGCCTCGGACAAGACCAGGGCCTTGAAGGGTCCCCAGCGCCCCGCAGCCCCGTTCCGGCCGCAGCCCTTCCCCCTCCCCGACCGCCAGCGAGACGTCCGACCCGGCCTTCTAGTTAGCCCGGCCCCGAGCCGGCTCAGTACCTGGAGGGGGCGGCTCCGCTCTTTGTTGAGTGCCTACCACGGGATCTCCTTTCTCGCCAACGCCCGCGTCCCCGTCGCCCGCCCCCGCCGGCTGGCGCAAAACTTGCGCGGCTGCCGACCGTCCGCTGCACCGCACGTCCTCTCGCAGGCGGCGGAGGCGCGTATAGTCGCCGCCACCGCCGCCGCCGCCGCCGCACCACGTTCCCCACCCGGGGCTGCGTCACCGGGAGACACGTTCCTGGCCAGCGTGGGTCGGCGCCGAGCGGCCCGCCCGAGAGCGCCGGCCGCGGGACCAGAGTGCCGCCCTGAGGCCTGGTCCGGACACGACACCCTCCCGGCCTCGCCGCCGCGCCCCCACGTCGGGCGTGCCCTCCTCGTGCTCCGGCGCTGTGCCCATTCTAAAAGATTAGATCCCTCGGAGTATTCGTGGGGCTACTGGCCTCTGCCAAACAGCCCCAGACTCGTCAGGTGAACGGGTAGAGGGAGAAGGGGGACGGGTAGGGGAAAAGGGGGAGGGGCACATGTGCTACGGGAATACAGTCCTCTTAAGTTCAACATAGTAAAGGTACGTGAGGGCACTGGGCCAGAAGTAACCTGGCAGCGGGGCGTCTGGGAAAGAGGTGAGGGAGTGCCAGGTCAGCTAAGCAACGGCACACCCTTACTGCTCTTTCCTGTTTTGCAAATCATTCCCAGTGGTACCAGTTTGAGGCTACGCAGCACACCTGCACAGCCTGTCTTCAGTTTTTGCGAGACTTTTCTGAAAGCCGGAATTCCTATTAATCTCAGTTGTCTTTACCCCTGTTGGGTACACGGCGTGCCTCATTGCGGATATTGCACCTTTACTGAGACCTGGAGTTCTGCAGAAGAAACTGAGGAATCACGTCCTAGTTCTGGCTCTACCACTTCGTTAGTATGTGATCTGGGACAAGACATCGAATTTGGCAATATCTCGGTGTCCTCATCGGCAGTTTGAAGAGGATAAAGGTTTGCATCGGACTCCCAAGGAAGTGTTTATAACGCGTACAGGATTATAAATAGGGTTATCAAATAGAGGCTTTAAAATACTTAATAAAAAAGGCATAGAGTTATCACACAAGAATTCAGAAAAGTAATTTAGCTGATATTTCACAAGCTGTTTGCGGTTTCAGTTTCAGTCTTGTTCAAAAGGTGAAAATAAAATGGGCAGATTTTTGTACACTGGCAAGGTTATTTCTAGAGCTCTTTAGAGATGTTGGACAGAAAAGTCAGATGACACTTCACCGCTGCATTTTGTGACTGAAAAGTCTCAAAAGAGCAAGTTGCATATGTTGGCATGTGACCTTGAGCATTCACTTGTATTCTTGGGCAATATATTCCTTATTGTTAGTAATTGCAATTAATTGTATAATGTAGAAGTTAAATTCACACCTTAATAGGGCAAGAAATACATGTATTTTCTTGTGCTCCATGCACAAAGGGCACTTATTTAAGGAACTTACTTAGCCCAGGCTTACATGCACCGTGGACAAAGCCTATGTGTTTGCTGCATTGAAAAAATTGTTGAAGAAACAGTTCCTTCTTTCAAAGTTTCTTGGCACTAGTTTTGGTGGGCACATACTTTTGGCTTCAATGACTCAAAATCTTTTAAAAATGTTCTATTGGTAGCTTAGTACTTGTTTATTGCCATAGATTCATTTTGTTTTGTTTTTTTATGACCCTATAAGCATTGATCCCTTCTCTTGTCAAAAATTTATTCATTCTTATTTAGACTTGCATCATTCCACAAATAATTTGAGGCAGCATCCAAGAAATGCATAATACTAGATAAAAATAAATATATGAAGAAATCAATATGAAATTAGAGAGAGGGAAAATGGAAAACAGAAGGTTTTGTACTATTTTGAGATCAAAATGAAGTAGCTGATCAAGAGAAGAGCACATCTGTTTCCTGGTTACTAAGACTTCAGAAAAATTTACCTCACAAGCCTTCATAAAGTGGAAATTAAATGCCTGGTTTGAGGCGAGGATACATATCCTTCAAGCGTGTTATTCTTGAAACACAACATTTCATATGAATTAGGCAACAATGTTTGAGATCATAGGCTTCAGTAAGGCCTTCAAGTGCCGATATTTTATGTTGCCTGTGATGGCAGATCCATATGGTTTGTCTAGCAACCCAGAGGCAGATAACACAGAAAAAGTTGAAATTCTACGTGGTAGTAAAAAATGTGTCTGCTATAATCATTATTTTACAATTGTTTCAAGGAGGAAAAGATTTACTTCATACTAATTCCAAAAGAATCTTAAGGATTGAGGTAATTACAACAAGATCTATTTAGCTGGTGTATTAAACATTACAGGATGGGTAAAGAATTTTCAAATTCAGTTTTCTTAAACAAACAATGAGCAGACTCAATTTTACATCCTAAACAAGTACACAATTTCAAGCTTCAAGTTTATATTATAATAGTAAATGATTGTAGCTAACAGAGAGTTGCTTATAAACTACCCAATTTTACAAAGATAAGATACAAATTAAGAATAAATATGATGAAATAGACCCTTCATCCCAACCTGATTATTATGTATTTTTAGTATCTTCATGATATCTGACATGTAAATATTTTCCAGCTTTGGTCCTCCTGTATAACAAGGGATAGTGTTTTTTTTTTCCTATACTTTTCCCCCATCTTTCAAGACTGTTTAGTAAAATGCTAATCATAATTTGTGGCCTCTGATGTAATTCTAACTTTAGCCAAGACTGAATTAAAAAATTCCTCAATATTATTTTAAAAATTCTATTTAGGTCAGATTCACTATTTACTACTCAAGATGAAATGGCTAATTAAAACTCTCAAGTATGACAAGAGCAAGCATGGGGATGATAATTTTAATCTATGAAACATTTAGGTTTAAGCAATATCATCTAATGAATCTCCCATGGTAAACTAGTTGTAAAATGTAACTATGATTGCCCTATAGTTTTGTTAAATGTAAATTAATTAAATGTTAGAAGATGTCTATTACAATTATGACTTGGATTCTCAAATAGTTCATCTTTAGCTATTCTTTCCGTTGTCTGTTGAGGCAAGTGAATAAACAAACCAACCACCCACGTTGTCAGTATATAGAAGAATTCTTATTTTTATTTTGGATAGAAGTAGAATATATATCTCATTCAGAATGAGTATCAGAGTAGAAGTGAACGTAGGATTTTCAATGGCTATGACATTTCAGAATTAGCTCACCAGACTTTTCTTCTGAGGTTCCACTGAGTGTATTCAAATGACCAACCTCTTGGTTATTATAACCCAGTGCTTAACCATTTAGACCACCCAAAGAGCCCTTAGAAGTGAACGTATCATCTGTGAATACAATTGATTTTTGTACCCTAAAATTTTGACAAACTCATTTATTAGTTCTAATAGATTTTTTTTAAGTAGATCCTTTAGGATTTTCCACATAAAAGATCATGTCATCTGCAAATAGAAGTAATTTTACTTCTTCCTTTACCTTTTCTTCTGAGGTAGGAAAGGAGGTAAAAATAAATGGATATGCAAACACATTTGGACATGTGGTAGCAATATTTGATCTGACAGCCTTGTTAGTGTTTTCTTTTCTCTATAACAATACCTTATGTTTCAATACAGTTTTGTAGTTTACACATTATACTATCTAATATGGCCAAACATTACACTCGAATCCAGTACTTTCTATATAATTCCAACCATCAGCATGTACCTATTTTAAAAAGGAATCACAGTATATTGGAGATGTAAACATGGATATCTAAATTTATATCTTCTAGCTTCTCTTGCCTTGTTAGTGACTAAATCGACAACCCACCACTTGTAAGTTTGTCGTACTCTGGTGGTTTGCCTGTTGCTGGGAGCCTGGAGGCTATGCCACTGGTGTTTCAAATATCAGCAGGGTCACTCATGGTGGATAGGTTTGAGCAGAGCTTCCAGACTGAGATAGACTGGGAAGAAGGAAAGGGCCATCCACGCCATGAAAACTTCCTGAATAACAGTTAAATACTGTCTGATATATTACTGGAAAGCTTTATGAATAGCCTTGAAACATTGACTTACATAGTGCCATAAAACAGCCTCTCAGGTTGGAAAGCACTCAAAATATGACTGGGGAAGAGCAGCCTGCTCAAAATAGAGTTGACTTTAATGATGTCTTCCTTCTTTCTTCCTCTTTTTCTTTTTTTCTTTCCTTTTCTCCTTTTCCCTATTCCTGATTCCCTTCTTTTTTCTTTTAGTTCTTCCCGTCCCTTGTTTTTCCTTTTGCAGTTTTCTCTATTCTCTTATTCTTGCTCTTTGCTCTTCATTGTGCCCCTCCCAGATATCATGCAGGTTATTTTTCCCCCTTTTTTGTCTCATTAACTTTCATCCTTTTAAAATTTATTTTGCAACTTTTTCTTTTATTTACTGCATTTGTTTTCTATCTTTTTTTGCAGTTGTTCCTGATTGTTTATGTGGTTTGAGTTTTTTGTCCTCTTGTTTTTGTTTTTTGGGTAGATTTTAAATTATGTTTTTTTTCTAACTGAGTGGGAGACAGTTCCCATACAACCCAACCATACTGCACCTCCTGCAGCCCCACCTACTGAGTGAGGGCCACCACTTGGATTTGCACCAACTGACCAACAATAGATGGTGCCCGATACCAGTAC